GCGTCCGAAAGAAATTTTCAACGAACTTCACTTGAATCTGAGAGAATACGTTTCCAACAATCGGGATTTAATGGCCACAATCGCGGATAAAGACAGGTCATTCGATATTTCTCCCAAAGTTCTTGGGATCCTATGGGATTCCGAAGCGGATGTTCTACACGTCACTTGCAAAATCCCCATTCTGGCGAAAACCACAAAACGAACCGTAGCGAGTGCTATAGCGTCCATTTACGATCCCATGGGGTGGGTGCTCCCTCTAGTTCATAAAGCCAAGATTTTCCTGCAATCGCTTTGGAAAACCACACGCGATTGGGATACCCCTCTCACAGAGGAAGAATGTGAGCAATGGAAACGAATATGTGATGGACTCAATGGATTTCACAAGCCAGTTCCGCGTTTTCTCACACCAAAGCGGCGTCGAGTAACGCTGGTAAGCTTTGCGGACGCGAGCAGCGAGGCAATGGCCGCCTGCGTCTACCTAAGAGTAGAAGATTGGACTCATCTCCTTATGGCCAAAGCAAAGCTACCCTCTATCAACTCGAAAATAACGATACCTAAGCTGGAGCTCAACGCCATGACTTTAGCGATGCGCTTGACTTACTGGATAATTACTCAGTTACAATCAGTAGTCATTATCGACCGCGTAGTTGTTTCTAAGCGATTCCGAGATAGCACTAAACTGGATCAAATCGAGGGTGCGACACGATGCTGGACCATTCATCAAAAATCGCGTCAATGAGATTCAACAAATCGCTAGCAAGATAAAAAGTTCAGGCTGTCCTATCCAATTTGGTCACATATCTTCACAATCCAATCCCGCAGATTGCGCTACTAGAGGGTTGGATAAGTATGACCTGGTTAACCACTTCTGGTGGACAGGACCCAGACTTTATACGCGTTCCGCTGGCAAACTGGAATGAACTTTTCAAAGCAATCATAATCGAGACTACCTTCGACGATGTAAGGGACGAGTCAATCCCCTCTACAAGCTCTCTTACCGTTGGCACTACCATAAAAGCCAGCGAGTTAGATCCGAAATTCTTTCAGTCAATTCGAGTGCAAACTTTACCCAATGTTAAACGAACGGTAGCATACATTATGAGATTCATTCGAGTTCTCGCAAAAAGAACGCGGAAAAGCGCAACGCTACCGCCCAACCGTTCTTGAAACTTTCGTCACTCTTTGAAATCAGTGAAGACGATCAAATGTCAACTAATCTGAGCGGCGAAGAAATAGCCCTGGCAGGTAAAATGCTCGTAAGACAGCATCAGTTGACGAGTCTCACTCCTGAGGTTCTTAGATCGCTTCACCATTTGAACCTTCACAAAGACGAGTTCGGAATATGGCGATGCTTGGGGCGCCTAGGTAATAGTGCTCTTGGGGACGACGCCAAGTTCCCTATGTTTATTTTGCAAAAGTCTTGGCTATCAAAATTGCTTATCAACGACTATCACAGCAAGGGTCACCCTACGACCAACCATACAATGGCACTTATCCGGCAGCACTACTGGATCCCCAAGCTACGATCACAAGTCACAGTAGCTATTCGTCGCTGTAAATTGCAGTCCAAAGGTTCAACAATCTTCCATTTAAATACCCCGAGCAGAGCGACTTGCCATCACGTCGCGTACTACGGTCACGTCCATTCGATCATGTCGGACTGGATTATTTTGGACCCCTTACCATCAGAAAAGAAGATGGATCCATGGGAAAATGTTACGGCTGTATTATCACCTGCCTAACGACACGTTTGATTCATCTGGATGTTGCCTCGGATCTTTCCACCTACGCCTTTATACAAATGCTTCGTAGGTTCTTTTCAAGAAGAGGATTCCCATCAACTATAACAAGCGACAACGCACCGACGTTTACGCTTGGCGATTCCGTTCTGCAAGAGTGCATAAGAAATGTTCAGAACGACTCAACGATAGCGAAACTGATAAGCAACAACGAAAATTCGCTGGAAATACATCACCCCTTTTGCACCCTGGCAGGGAGGAGTCTATGAGCGCTTAATAAGATCAGTTAAATTAGCTCTGTACAAATTCCAAGGAAGGTCAGTTCCAACCCATTGAGGAGCCTCATCAGCGTTGCTTTCCGGAGATAGTCAACGATGCTCAACACTTAGACCTCTCGTATAATACTGAATCAGCGCACGCGCGAGTAATAGCAACATTTACGACCGATCGACTTCGTTACAAGAACAACTTCCGAATTGTCCGCTTCTCTGAATTCGATTCAAAAATCCTGAAACTCGACTATCATCTCGCCAGCACGACGCGTGACACTGCAATCAAAAATTCAAGTGATGGAAGCCTTGAAAAGTTCTTGTGAGATGCCAGAAAGGTTTTGGCAAATATGGCAGACAGAGTACTTAACTTCGCTACGAGAACGTCACCAACGAGAAGTTGGGAAGCAACGAGGAAGCCAGCTACGTACCGAAGATAGGTAAAGTAGTCCTCATCAGCGACGCACTTCAACCACGGCACTGCTGGAAAATGGGACGAATCGAAACTTTAGTTTCAAACAGCAACGGAATAGTCAGAGAAGCAGTTGTTCTTCTCCCATCTCATCGTAGAATCCGACGGCCTGTGAACCTGCTAGTCCCCTTAGAAATTGACGACGAACTTCAAGACGAGGTACGAGAAGAAGAAAGTCGGGACGATGCAAAAACATCGGAGGAAAACTCTAGAATTAAAGACAATCACACGGGAGAAATAGGCTCACGTTATAACTTTCGTTCAAAGCAACGCGTGAACTATTCAGAAAACTTTGTGAGCATAGCACGAGTAATACCCCATCACTTTACAGTAGTCCTAATGCTAAGTATATTCACCATGATCCTATCGCAGCAGTTGCCCAAACCGTAGAACCTACAAGACACTTCGTGCATGAGTTGGTACTTCCTCCCTCTGATAATCCCTTTGTAACAGAGGGAGAAACTAGGTCAAAATTGAGTAACCCTAGAGTAGTTAAAGGGATACGCGTTCTATCTCATGTACGTTGTCTCAAAGAAAATAAATGGAAATACGGTAATCATCATATAATACGAACGGCTGGAACTTACTATACGAAAAAAAGGAAGGTCAAACATTATAGCCTGATGACACAACAAAGCCGGTACCCGCCGCAGGTGGAACCGCCGTTTGTTGCATTTGCGCCGTTTGTTGCTGTTGCATTTGTGAGTGGTGGGATGGAATTACTGAAAGTGCAGATATAATTACTCAATATTAATATAGTAAATAAATAATAAATAGCTGAGTTAGTAAGGAGGCAAATTTTCTTGCTTCCGGCACTTGTAGCGGCTGAGGATTCTGCAGGATTCATAAATTCAGTATAGGTTTTGATTCCAAAAGGACCACTTGACACTTGATTTCAGGCTAGCGTCTTGCTCCCAGAACGTTTTTTTGTGTGCGCCATGCCCTTGGTTTTCGTACACGCTTGAAATAGCAGCGATTGTTCGTAACATCAAGTTGTGTGGACCTTTTGAAATCTATTTTTGTTATTCGCATTTTCAAAAATGTTTCCTTGCCGATCAGAAATGGATAGAAGGTCTGTAGAACAGAAGTTGGGGCTGAGTTACCCATCTTGATAAGCGATTGGTTGTGCAATCCTTGCCACTTTGCCATCGATGAACGAGTTAACAGCCAAGAAGAAAAGAAGTAAAATAATCAATAAAATGAAATAAATAGTAGCTTACCCATTCCGTGTGGGTAGTTGACGTAAAGTGAGTTTGGAAGCTGACGTTCATACATTTGGAATGGATTCTGGTTCAACTGCTGTGGTGCGCTGGAGTACATACTGTAACCCATTGGAAAGCCGACTTGTTGCATACCGATCGGCACTGGCTGCTGGGAGAACTGCGGGTACTGCTGGTGCTGGTACTGCGGCACAACCTGTGGCATTTGTGGCACTTGTTGCACTTGCGGTTGCGGTTGTGGTTGTGGCATTGCGATCACTTGGTTTGACGAATATGGTGCACCATAGGGAGCTGGAGCTGGAGAAATTGATCTTTGGGCTTGTGGAGGAGCACCGTAGCCATCTGCTTGGATCGTTACCGCAAGTGATATCAACAGTAGGAGTGCGAGCATTCTGAATAGAGCAAGATAAAAGGAATCAGTTCCATCTCGAGAGGTATAACATCTTCACACCAAAGCAGAGCATGTTTGTTAGGGGGTGAAATAAGACAGCGATAAAGGTATGGAGACGTCACGCCTCCTGGGACTAATTGGTCTTTTTTGACTAATGGTAAGGAAGAAGTCAATAGGGCAATTTCATAGTAAACCGCTCTATAGAGATTCTATTTTATGACAGGTAGAAGCCTAAGAGAGGTTTTTGGTTCGCTTTTGGAGAGCATGAGCATGAGCCAGAACTCATGGTTTCGAATCACACAAAAAATCTTGGCGGTTTCTAACGGATTTCACCCTTTTAAAGGGTTCTGGTCAAAAGTAGGATTACTTAGATAACACAGAAATTCAATATAGTGAAATTATTATGTCTAATATAGAAAAAATTGTAGTATGGCAATGTTGACTGCTTTGAATCACAGACAACCTTTTGAGTTAACAGTTGCACCTAATATATGTTTTGGATATATTTTGGATGTATTTAGGCTCGGAAAAATTTGACGAAAACCTACTCCAATCACTCTGAAACGGCCGTGCACCCAGAAATTCCCAAAAGGAGCTAATTTCAATATATTCCAATACCAATATGAATAAGTATTGATGCCTACGATATTGTAAAACTTCCATAGAGGTTACGATGGAACACGAAAGATGTGTGAAGAGAGAAGAAAGGAAGCGATGCGTTGAGCGATTGGTGGTGCTTAGCGCTTTTATAGCACCCGCGGATGGAACCGGGCGTGCATCTACAGCTGCATCAAATGGATCATCCGATGATACTCTATTGTGTGAGCCGTGAGTCTCTGAGGGGATTTGTCAGCGATTTCCTCCCTGAAGCGATTCCACTCACCTTGACGGGTAAGATAAACCAGCTTCTCTTCCACAGCTAGTCCAAAAAAGCGAGTGAAGCCAATCCTACCAGTTTTCGCTTATCCATGAGGAAGTCTCATTTTTTGTGAGCGGCGCAATTCACTTGGTAAGCGAGGCTTTGAAATGTCAAAATGCATTATTGCAGATTCACTTTCCTCCAAATCGCATCGTACCTGTTTTGGAGGGGAAATCGCTGCTTTAGCTGAGTTGACTTCCCGTGGAGCTTCCTTCCCCTTGTAGTCATCGTTCCGTCCTTTAAAGACCAACATATCAGTGCAGTTTGGTCACTTGTAGGCGGTTATTTTTCAAGTAGTCATTTAAAGTTTTCGCAGGACAGTGGATAGAGAGAGATCCGACATATTTGTATCCTTTTTCGGACAGCTCCTCCATTCTACATAATTCCGTTTAGGGTCATAATTATAATGCATTGGAATGGATTTTGTTCTGTAGGAGGCAGGTTTTGTAGGAGTCCACCGATGAGCAAAACTGGTGGTCTATTCACACAGATGAGTCCAGTACCGGATGAGCAGCCTCGGAGGGATGAATTTCTGGACTGTTTATGTGAGATTCGATATGGGTCTCATGTATCTAAGATGTAACAGCGAATATAGTGTTCGCAAATGACCCTCACTGGTAGTCTCAGAAAAATAATGACAACTTATAAAAGCAGCTGGGTATACAGGAAAGAGATCATAGATAATCTAGAACACATCAAAATTGCATCCTTTTCGGACTAGGATCTGAAGAAGCAAGCGAAGGTTCATACGGTAGTCAAGACTTCACAGTCGTGGCGAAAAGTAGCGCATCTTGCCAGCTACTGTTAGGCACGCATTTCCGGCGTTCTGGTCTGTTTTAAGATGGAAAGCTGCCCAGTGACGCGTATAATGTACTTCAGAGAACGATATTAGTCGTAATTTTAGGACACCTGCACTAATTTTGCTGAGATCGACGACAGCAGTCTGATGGTAGAGACTGCACAGATGACAGCTGCGAAGGAAACACTGAAAGCATTCTAAATCCTTCCCAGGGTTCTTACAACGAATAACTGATGTATCTAATTGAATGGACCTCGTTCAATAATACACCTCTTGTACCCTTCGATAGCCACACCTTTAGAATCACAAAGCTTCCAACTCCTCCAATCCCATCACATTTTTAACGGAAGTTATAATGCGCTATATTATGCGTCCTTGCAAACTCTTGGCTAGGGTTCCTAGTTATCAGAGATGTAGGTAGTCATACGCCCGATAGTGGATTGATCCAAAATTTAGTGGTTGTCTCACGCAGGCCGAGTGGTTCGCCTCTCTGGTTATCGCCACCTGGTGCCTAATTGACCTGAAAGGAAGACACCTGACTTCTTCTCGGCTGCATACTTAAGTCATCAGAGGCCACGTTGCAGTCGGCGCAGCCACGTTTATAAGAATGTGGGGCGTTTTTTCTCAGATGTACAAATCTTCATCATTCATATCAAAATCGAATGCTTCATGATTTATCTTCCAGCGCTTTCTTGTAACAGCGGGATTCTCCGCTTAAACGATGAGATCCGTGAGGTTACTTCCGAGATGGTATTTTTTATGAAGAACCTCTGACATAGTGTTTGAAGCTCCATTGTTTTGAGTGTTTGTTGAGGTAAAGCGTTAACACCTGGAATATTTTAGGGTTTTCAAACGCGCTGCAACAGTCGAATTCTTGAGTCTAGGTGACGAGAGCTCGTGTGTCAAGGGTCCTTTTCAGGAAACATGGAAATATTTGCATACAAACATTCATTCTGGTGAAGGTCTAACCATCCCGTCGGCAGTTTTCCTTTGTCGCTTCATTTCGTATTGGAACCATCAAGGAATTTTCCCTTACAAAAACATGAAAAAACACTGCTCAAGACGTGCTATATACAACAAACTCTTGACACCATTAAGCCGTTAGTCATCCATTGATTGATGTCAGCATTGGCTTATATTCGATAACCTATTAAGAGTTAGACTCATGTAAAGGTAGTAAGTAGGTACACACTTTAACCTGAATCAAGAGGAGTCATGACGTCGGCGGTTGAAACATTTCTTTTCCGAATGCACTTACAACAAGGGAGGTCGTTCAGGGTGTGCCAAGCTTTTTCAAAATGGTTTCTTGCATGACATTGGGGCACATATGGGGACCACAGAAGCATGGTTCATTTTTCCTGAACGGCTCTCTGAATACCAGAAAAGGGGTCCCTAGTTCGATTCCTCGTGGTGACAAGTTTTTGCATTTCGAGTTGACGTTTCCAAATTCGCGCAAAATGGAGTTAGCATGAATAATTTATGATTAGGAACGTCAGTAACCCTTACAAATAGACTTTGATTGAAAAACTGGTGAAAAAGGTGTGACTAGGGACCCCCTTTTCTGGTATTCAGAGGGCCGTTAAAGAAAAATTAAAGGAATCTTCCACGGAAAAGACTGCTTATCCTTTCCTTGTGTACAGGTGTTGGGCATGGTCATTGAAGACCATATGCAAAGTTCGGAGCGAAAATGATGAAACCCCCAAGAGAAACAGCCCTTGGAAAGACCCATCTGTGGGACCGGATTGGACCAGTAGGCGGGACCGGAAGTGCTTCTGTGACGAAGTGCGTGGCAGGATCCACGTGTCAGTTTATGGGAAGGGCCCAACATGAATCCAGTTCACGTTCACGCTTTTGACACGTTTGCACGTGTTGACTCCACGCCGCTAACAGTTGTGGAAGTTTTACAGCGGGAATTCAAAATTTTCATAGTCGAACTGGTTATCATAATTATTATCAAAACCATCGCCTATGTTCCGTTCTTTTTGCTATCTTCATGAAGCAAGGGGCCTAAGGTATCGTTTTTTGTAGGAATGGAGGCGATGTTTTCCGTGGAAGATTCCTTTAAGCATGGTTCTGTGGTTCACGCATGTGCCTCTATACATGCAAAAGACCGTTTTGAAAAAGCTTGGCACACCCCGAAAGACCTTCCTTGTTAGAGCGGGTTCCAAGCGGACTAGAGAAAACCTTTTTAACTCCTGACGAGAACGCTCCTGGCAGTACTACTCTTGTCGCATTGTCGCAAACTGGTAAATTGCAGCAGGTAATGAAAAAAAATCAATTAAAAATCATTACAAATTTTTCGAAATGTCCTTCTGTTGATGAAAGGAACGCCTCTTTGAATTCGTACATCACATGTACAACGCCAAAAATAGCATCCGCCATATTAAACTTTATCAAAACATTACAGCGCCAGAAAAAGTGGGACATTACGCCCGAATAAACACAAACAATTGCGCTCAGCTCTTTTTCACTGGAACAAGCAGGTAACGACTTCTACTGTGAATATGTGCGTGTGGCACAACGTCCTGGACATCGACGATCTCGTAGACACGAGGCGACTGACGCACGATGACGGGAGCGGATTCACGAATGATGGTCGTCGTCGGTTGTGATACTACTGGATAGGTGTATTGCACTGCTGCCGGATAACTGTACTGATAGGCCGGATACGAGTAGGCAGGATACGAGTAGTAGGGATAATAGGAATAATAGGGATAAAATGGCCAACCTGGCCAAAACGTCTGATTAGAGTCGTGGACGGCGATCGCCTGAAAGAGCTGATTCGTATTCATACTGACAATGTGAACTTGAACCCATGTCAAAGTATCATATAAACAGTGAGTTGTCAAATTTGAAATTTCAAGGTTAAAATTTTATGGAATTTTATGCTTTGGTAAAAAAATGGGAACAAGTATAAAGAAAGAGACGGAAAAGAAGAAGAGAAAGACAACACAAGCTCAGATTTATCAAATTTAGCTCGGAAACGTATTACAGTTAGATCCACATCTTGAATTACATAAAAAGGCTTGAAAAGGAAACCATCACATTCAGCTATTTGGGACTACCGGCCCACCTATCTTCTGTAGCTTAAATTTTTCGAAGCACTGTAACTAGCAATTCTTCGCTTTTGCCATAC